TTGGCAAAACATTTTTGCATGTCTTTCCAAGCTAATGGCCGGTATGCACTCTTTTCACCCTTCATAAACACACATGTGATTGACCTCGTATAAAGAACTCTCCTCTAATTCCCCCTCTCTCCCCCTCACCACCCCCCTTCGCCCTCTGTGTGCATTTTACTAGAAGATTACCGTATTTACTCGATTACACGCAGCCCTAAATAACACGAGGCACCCTGGTTTGGAAGAATGCGACGTTGAATCAAGGATTATAGAGGGTTGTCCAATATACCCAAACAGATTCCGATAGACGGTTATACATTTGGAACCTTAAACATGTTCCCATAACATTAAGGAATGGTTTACGGTAGTTGTAATTAACCGGGATTTAACAAATATGATTTTGAAATAATCGCTGCCCTTGAATAGACGCCCTATCGGATTTCACCATGCACCGTCTTTTAAGTAGGAGTCAATCCCAAAACCAAAAAGTTTTCTTGACTTTTTATAGCCATAAAATTTATCTGTTAGCCCTTTTTGGACCTTTTTTGCATACCAAAATAACAAATTTCCTTTCCCTTTCATATATTTCAACAAGTGAAAACGTTACCCTTTCATATGGGTCGACCTGCAGCTATCCAAAACGGCTCTCTGATATACCTGAAGCCTGAAAAAAAAGGTATCCCTTTCGGGCGGAGCCTCCCCGTATAGGCCATTATAGGGAGTACCTCTTCCGGATTATCGAGTAAATACAGTACTTTCATTTATTTTAATAAGAGGAAATTGGATCCTTAACGCGTTGCGTGACAGTTTTCTCAGTTTTTGTATATTTCGTTTTTCTGTTAGGGTCACTGGTCCCTCTGCTGGAAAATGTTCCAAACACCCAACAGAGATCGCACGTGAGACGGAGGTTACACGCGAGACAGAGAACTTGCGGGAGGCTGCACGTGAGGTCAAAGAAATCACACAGGAACAAGTTGAAAACACTCGTGAAGTTATATCAGGCTGGTTATAATGTGATTGAGACTATGATGTATACGTATCACATTCCAAACAGGACTGACTGTAATGGTCCAAGATTGTATCAGGCTTGTCAATAATATTAAACTGCAAGAATCATATTTATCTCCTTATTTTGTCTGATTTTGTTTCCCGGAGGGACTTCCGTATGAAAGTAACAGGAACCCTCGAAGTCTCGGTTAAGATTGTAAATTGCAGATTTTGGTCTTAAGGATGTTTGGGACGGAAAGTCACTATATTTGCTCATTCAGGTATCGCTCAGAGCTGTACATAAAGAAAAACTAGAGACTGAGATTTAAGTTGGTAATTTCTCAGAATAGAAAATATTAAGCAGATAGAAACTGTCCAGAACAATTCATACTGGGATAAAACTGGGGTGAAACTACTTATGAAACAGTACACGACAAATTAAGGGGAAAACTTGGTCACGTGGTACAAATTCACGTTTGCCTTGATAACTCTATTAACGAAAAAGCACGTGACGACTTCGTGGCTATAGAACTAACTGGCGCCAAATTCCACGTGTCGGAATACTACACAAGCTGCTGAAGGAAGAAGGCTTCTAAACCTGTTATAGGGTTTATCTGCGAACTCGTTCTTTGATATTCGTTGTGTTGGTGTTTGGAGTTGCAGTAGAAAATCTTTCGCGAGTGAGAAGGGAAGTTCTCTAGACTGTAAAGCGGGTACGTTACACATTAGTTTGTCATGTCAGGTGTAAGGTTAAGTATTCCTGAAAGTATTCATCAGATAGCCAACGTTGTAATGAGGAATCGTGTGGAACGCAATGTTATTTTGTGTCTCGCAGCGCTGTTTGTTTCACTGCTGTGGAACACTGTAGATCACAAACACAATGACATCTTGTCACAAGGAGATATGTTCCAAAGCGCCATCCGACAATCAACTGCAGAATCATTTTCAGTAGATAACCTTTCCAATGTAGTTCACTACTTTTTTCTAATCGGTTTACTTGCCTCAAAAGGTGAACGAAGCTACAAGGCGAACACTTGAATTATAATTTGCTGGAAGAGGGGGATGAAACAAACGCATTGCCTTGTAAAAGATCGAATGAATATAACAGAAAAGCAGATAGTAAAACCGAAAAAAAAAAACGAATCATTTAATTGTACTTTAGGCACGATGACAAAATAAAAGTGTTCTTAAAACGGTCCTTCTTCCACTTTGGAAGTGCAAGGCACACGTGACGGTGATTTCTTAGTGAATATAGAGCCTTATTGGCTTCAGTTAATAACTTGTCAAGTTTGTTATCCTTGCTGCCGATGGCAGGGTTAAAAAACTTGTCACGTATGTCCTCGCAATATGAAATAATGGTTGGAATACCAGCTTCATTAAATGCCTCGTCATAAGACAGACTTGGGCGAATGACTGACAATGCCCTTTTTTACCTGGGACCCGCTTCAGCTCACACTGCATACTTGGGCAGAGCATAAAAGAAAACAGTCGCTGCATAAACCAGGATTGATCTTATACATGTGGCATAAAAGAGGACCAAATCCCAACATGGAAGCTTTGCCCGTTTAAGCTAAACTAGGAAATACAAACGTTTAGACGCTTTCTTTACAGTTTCGTTAAAGTGCTCATCCCATGATAAATCGCTTGTAATTGTCACACCCAGCAGCTTTGCGCTTCTAACTACTTCAAGCTGGTTACCATTGACAGAATAGGATGGAACTCAGGCTGCTTTTTAGTGAAGGAGATTCTAAGTTCTTTACACTTTTCGTTGTTCAGTCAAGTTGAACCCTATTATCTGAGGACCACTGAGCTACACAGTCTGCTCTATCTATATATGTTGGGCATTACTCGCACCACCCTTAGCGACTACTTCTGACGTTGTGGTGTCATCAACATACTTCCAGAGCTGGGCGTTGAAATTTCCATTAAGACTTGGATCATTGATCAAAATAAGGAACAATTAAGGCCCTAGCTTTGTCCCCTGGGGAACCCAAGAGGGGGCAGAGCCCCACTTGGAGTAACATCCCTCAGCTGGCCTAATCCGCTGAGAACGCCCGGACAGAAAATCAATCATCCAGTTGATTATTCTGGTTGGTAGAACAAAATTAACATCTAAATTTATCAACAAGTATTCTGTGGTCAATTAGATCGAAAGCTTTTCGATAATTGAATAGCACAGTCATGACTGTAGCGCTTTTGCCGTCTGTCGCTTTGGGCATTCATTGTTTGCATTATGTTCTGTGTTTTTGTTTATTTAAAACTGTTTTGCCTTTTAAAAACTCATGCATCAAAACTGACATAAAAACAAGTTTGTGGCAGCACTTCATTTCCAATATGGAAGCTCTAGTTTTATATGCGAAGATGATAAACGTGCGCAAATACATTGTTGTTGTTGTTATTATTATTATTATTTTCATTGAGCCTCAGTGAGGAACTCCTTTGACAACGAGGGTTGAATTACAATAATTTCCAGTGCGAAAAAAAAAATAACACCTATAACTGAGGACTTTGTAAGCGTGTTATAGTCGCAATTTCGATTGCTTTAAAGTGGGAGCGTGTTGAGAGCATGTTATCACCTTTGTCCCTGAAATCATATGGAGTGGGGGGGGGGGACGGTGTCACAGTTTATCTCGTTTGACAACCTAGTTGAATTAAATTTTAAATTTAAACATAGTAAATGAACTGGAATAGATGTTATCACTGACCAACGTAAGACAGTTACATTTTTTGTTTGCCTGTTCACGCTGCATTGTTCAATGGTACCATTGAATATTACATGGCGCGTGATCTCGGGGAGATCTTACGATAGCATTGCTTTGTAATCCCGCCAAGATGAGATAGGTGTGATCTCGGCAAAGTGGTGCCAACATTTGGCGCTTCGCACCCGCTACACTTGGCAACCTTTGGCAAAATATTTGGGAATCTTAGGTAACGTTCGGAATTCGTCGAAACATCTTCGGCACCGTTCGGAATTGATCGGAATTGTGTTCGGAATTCGGGAAATGTGGGTACGGAATCACACGCAAAGTTGGCAGGCTTAGCCCGAATGCCTGGAGTGAGTTGATCTGGCTTCAGCCACGCTACGCTTCCCAATTTGACCAATAAATTAATATTACTGTCAAGCCGAACGCTGATGGAATAGTGGTAAGTGCACATTAGCCTCGAATTCCATCACTTTCTCTGCCCAAGCTCATAAAACAGTGACTTGTAATCGAGCCTGAGTACACATTAGACATTCCCAAAGCCCATTTCCGGTTTAATTTCTGCTGGTACTTCGATCATTTTCGCTCGCCCCTCGCCCCTTCGGCGCTCTGCAGTCGAATTTGTGTCAAGTCTGAGGGCTTTGCTTTCTTTTAGCGCACGCAAACATATGCCCGTTGCTCCCCTTCCCCCCTCCCGTGCCATTCTTTCCAATTTTTTGAAGAACAGTGGACTCAAAATCACCCACATTACCTTTCGGGATTGTTGCGTAACCTTTTCCGATAACCTTTCTCAAAATGAAGTACGGTATAAACAGAAAGTTCATGACTAAGCTGGGATCGCGAAAATTACATTTTCCGAAAAGTAACTAAGATAGCCTCTATGTTTGACCACAGGATAGACTAATGGGGTAGGGGTTCAAAGCAAAGTCAAGATTTCCGTAGCCGGAAAACAATTCAGTTAGCTCCTGTAAATCGGATATCAAATAATATCTTCTTCTTTAAAACGTTACTTTAAGATTTTATCACTTCAAAGATTAATGTCTTACCGTCGTCCCATGTTTTGCTCAGCATAAATTCAAATTTGGCGCCGAAAAACTTTCTGACCTTTCTCGTCGGTCGACCGTCATGGCGGACAGATAGGTGACTGTGAACTGTGACGTCAGCAGGGGTAACTTCGTCCCCAGTCAACCTCTTCCCAGTGTCCCTTGTCGCGTTTGGCCAGTCCACGGAGAAAAAGTAAAATAAAATAAGAGGAAATAATTTCATTTATACTGGTATTTCGTTAAATAAAGACTAATGTCAACTAAAAGACAGTGGAGAGAAAAATAACTGCATTGGTGCTAATCATAGCCTGGAAGCCTGGAACGCAAAGCCAACCCGCTGACCGGTCTCCGCTTGTCGAAGGATTATGTGTTCTCAATCAGTCTCCTTGCTGAAATATGGCGTGGTCTGCACCGGAAGATTGGTCTCGCTGGGATCCAGAAAAATTATTAGTATGTCCGTACGATGAAGTGCATAGGATAAAGGCCAAAAGATTTCAAAAACATTTGTTAAAATGCCGAGAGAATCACCCTGAAAAGGACTTCGTAACTTGTCCTTTCAACGCAAAACACGTTATGTTAAGATCGGAAATTCGGCACCATGTCAGTAGATGTCCTGATAGGGTGAGTAGAAGTCAAATGATATGCTATGAACACTTGCTGTGTGAATTATTTCGGCAGGAGAAGGTTTCTCCGGTTTTCATTTTGTTTCCAATCTTCATTTTAAAATGTGGCTTACATGACATACCAATTGCCCAGCTGTTGTTCAGATTATGTTGTTACACTAAACTATCTTTGCCACTCACAGTTTTCCATTACCTAATTTCCTTTTCAGTAAGTTGGAACCCTGTTAAAACGGTCACCACTAGGTCATAAAAATTTGGCGACATTAACAGGGTGGCCGTATTATCAGGGCAGGGTCAAATTTCATGACTTAAGCCAACTAGAATTACAAATGCACCATATATTGCATTCACACTTCTTAAAAAACTGTTCTCTTAAACTCGCAACCAGAATGAAGATATTGCATACAGTAATAACAAAAACTACTTGAAACTTTTCTTTGATAGGTAAAACACTGCCATTAAACTGCCACAAATGCATTTCAAGTGTACGTTAGGTTAAAGGGAACCTCCACTCTTACTACAGAATAAGTTTAAATCGAATAAAATTATGTTGATAAACAAATTTGTTCGAAATTTGTCTTAAAAAATGTGTTTATATCAGGAAAAGTGAATTTTAAAATCGCTTATTTTCACTTTCAAATTTGTGCTCAGCTGACACAAAGATTTTTGTTTAATAACAATGAAATTGACAAAAGTTATTTCTTTTCGGATACAAACAAAAAAATATTTTAGATTGACTTGACTGTAACAGTTATTTCCTGTGATTTAAAGTTATATTTTTGTTGAAGTGGAGGTTCCCTTTAAAGGCAACACAAGAACAGGCTCAGCTGGCTAGATCAGTGAAATTGACACGTCACAGGCATTTTAATTTTCTAAATTTCGAACGGGTGGCCTTATTAACAGGTTGAAATTATATAAGATTCTACTGTTTGGGATTTAAAAAATGTATCCGTTGGCTGTATTAACAGGTGACCACATTAACAAGGGTTTTTTTACCAGAAAATGTATGCCTGTTTTGCCAGGCCAAAAAAACTGGCCGCAATAATGAGGTCCAGACCGTATTACCGAGGTGGCCATAAGTCGGAGTTCCACTGTACCAAAATTCTTTGATTTTTTACCCAATTTGCATTCAAGAACCAAAGGGTTAGAAATGTGTTATAGTTTTTGTACAAGGCAGTAAACCTTATTTTTTCCTTAAACCCCTTTCTTGAGGCCCTATTAAAGTATAGGGTAAAATCTGATAATCAAGATAGCCTTGAAAGACTGTGACAAAGGACAGCAAAAATGGCCACAAATGACACAAAGATGGGTTGAATCTGCGACACGACACAGAAATGCACAGATACAATAGTAAATTACCGTCAGTGACATGGCTTCCTCCTCGATACGTGAGGATACAGGTTTTGTCATATGTAGCCCCCCTAAGAGAGCCTCATTCTTTACTCTCCCCATCATAATGATAAATACTGGATTTTCAGTCTTGTTCTCCATATATATATATAAGTCGATTGTCTTAACAAATTTTACTTTGTTTTAATTTTCAGACAGTTATAGAACAGTATAACTACAAAGGTATGTTAAAACTACAAGTTAAGGTCAGACAGCACTAAAAAGTTGTTACGCCCAGAAGAACCCTTCGTTAAAAGACCCTTCCAGAGCAGTCTTTTCAACTTTTGACATGGACCGATTATGAGAATTTCATCAACACTACTGGAAAGAAGGCCTGAAAATAATAAGTAAAACTGTCAAATTTGGAAGTGATATGTTGAAAGTGATAAGTCATAAGTACACGAAGATAAAATTAGCCCTGCAAAGTTTTGAAAATTTACAGACTTTGGTATGATTGGTCGCAAGTTTGTGCCCCCCACCATACAAACGTCTGTAAAATTCCGTGAGTTTCAAGAGCTATACATTCCTTATTTTTGAACAAAACAATTTCAAACTTTGCTATTTTACTAATTTAAAGGTGCTCTTTCCAGATGAGTTTACTGAATTTCTTGTCCACTTGTCCATGTCAAAAGTTGAACAAAAAAAAGCATGGAAAGATCAATTTGTGCAGTCTGAGTATTTCTCTATGGGGGGATGAAATTTTTACAGTGTCACCATTCCCAGTTTTAATAGAGGGTCCCTTTTTTTTGCAGGGGGGAAGATTTATTTGTTTGAATAATTTTTAGCATCATTGTTAATGTGCTGCAACCATGAGGCAGGAATTGTGAAACCCGGATCTTGTTTAATATGCACTTAAAATCTTCTTTGGGGTTCCAGACCTCATGGTACATAGATATTGAGTAAGGAGGCTGGGGAGCTTTCTGGCAGAAAAGAAACATTGTAACTTTGAACCTCAGCCTTTCAGGACCTGCTTTTGATCTAGGGAAAGACACCCCCAGATTTGAAATTTGAAAAAGAAAAAAAAGTAGGCCAAGAAGCAAAAACACTTATCTTAATTTCCCTTACTTAAGACTAGAGGTTTTTTTTTGTTCCATTTTTCTTTTGTTTCCTATGAAAGGACCTGGGGGTCATGCCTACAGTAACTAGGGGAAATTCACATGTCCCAGCCCTTAGTAAAAGCCCTGCCCGTGATGAATCTGTAGCATGTGTGGGTTTTTTTTCTAAGTAGGGAGACAGAGTTTTACTGTTTGTGTCGCCCTGCAGAAGAAACGTTTTCCAGCACTCCCGTAGCATTTTCTATCAAATCAGTCGTAGTTTTCCACTGGAAGGTAGAAGTCAATCTTTGGTGATTTTTGGAGTGGGTAATTATTAATTTTATTATGATGATAGTTACTGGTTTGCGAATACAGCTGTCATTCCTCACTCCTTGCCTAGGGATTTTCCACAAGTCCTGAGGAGCGAGGAGCGAAGAGATACGGCTGTATTTGCAAGTTGGATAGTAGCCTGCGTGCTTGTGGGCCCAAAATTCCCTTAGTTTTCTCTTCCCTTTCAAATGCCTGCCGCATAGGCTAGTTGGATAGTTGCATGTAAACTTATTGTTTTGTTAACAGGAAGTGAAAAGGATGAAGATGGCTTCTACTTCAAAGGAAACACTTCCGTTCCAAGTTATCACAAAACTGAGGATATACAAGAATCTTCTGAGAGTTGGGATGCAGGTCTGTAACAAGCATTCACTTGAAACTTTCGGGTATCCGTAGTTTTGTTAAAAGTAAAGCTGGTAAAATTCAAGAGCGGGGCCTGACTGTAAGGTAAAGTAGAAATAAAATACTTTTATTTAATTGCCTGGTGGCCCTTTGCACCTTACTTTTGCCTCCAGGTGACAAGAAAATCTTAGTTTTTTCATAGAAATCATAGTTGTGCTGAGCACCCTGAATTTCACAGGATCAGAGCACTGGGCTTCCTTCAATTTTTCTTAGAGCACAGCCTTGCTTTCAGTCTAAAAAATCATTAAATGTCTCTTTCTCCATGCTTTTTGCTCGGTCCAATTTCGTCTGCCCATTAATCATTTTGTATTACTCTACAGGGCTTTCACAGTTAGCAAAAAGTCATGGAAGAAAAAATAAGTCAATGTTAAGGAAAAGTCACAAGGAAATTGTCCAAAGATTCCCGATGGGATACATGTTGGCCCATCTTGGCCGCTCGGGTAGCTAATCTGAATGCATGATTTGCTTCATCTAGCCTGCTATTGGATTCAGCTACCCTGCAAGCAGAAGTTTCTGTCTTGCATTACTTTTAGCACTTATGAAGTTGTTCGCCTCACTTGTCTGTTGTGTTTAAAATAAACCAATTACATGACTGACAAGCAATGCAATGTGAATGACTTCGTTATTCAACCAGGAATGAGGTAGACAAAGAACTTTGTGGATGTGCTACCTCCAAATCATTATTTATTTATTTATTTATTTTATTTGTTTAAATGCTAGAAGCCATGCAAGAGAGAAAGCTCTGCTCACAGGGCAGGTTTCAGCCATGTAATAAAATGATGGGAGTACTGGTAGGTAGGTTGCAGTTAGGTTGGCTGCAACCAGACTTAATTTCCCTGTCCTATGAATCATTAACTATAATGTTTTTTGCCGTTTCTAGGTGAAGAGAGCGATTTCCAGTGGACTGAACATAATGACATTAATACACCCCTGTGGAACCAAGGGATGGCTCAAACTTCTCATGCTGTCACAGATACACTAAGGTTTGGAAACATATGTTATCAGCTGATCGATATAATAATTTTATTATGGTTTCTGATTTTATGTAATGTCATGATAAAGTACCTGAAAGTCAGCTTAAGAGTGATCAGTATCAATTTTCTCCTAACTATTTTAATACATAATCAATCGATAAAATGACCATTACAGAGAAAATGCATTGATCTCCAATCAAATTCTTTCAACTAATTCTTTAAGGAATTGTATGGCGATCAGTGTGGAGAATTTTTAGATTGATCTTTGGGTCTTAAGGGTTATATCACCGACACCAAATCCAGTAATCTGTATTTTTTCCGTGCGTTTATCATTCAAAGTTCTTTCTTTTGTCTAACCTCAATCCCTTCAAATAAGAATCACTGAACGACTGAAGCTAATCCGAAATTTTGACGTAACGGGAGCAAAGCAAGGATTATTTATTTTCAACAGATGTGGTACTTCTACATTACTTTCACATCAGCGAAGTTTTCCCTGTCTCATTTTCTAAAATTCAATATAACTTTTATCAAAATTTGAAAAAAAAAAGCAAAACAAAACAAAAATCAATGTCTGAAAACCTTAAAAGTATATTTCTAAGTGTCTCCAAAATTTATTCCAGCCCTACTATTTTGATTTTATGAGATGGTGAGTTGTTGCTGTTTTTTTTTTTGGCAGTTTAAGTCCAGAAGAACGAGAAAAATTCAAAGGACAGATGAGAAGAGAAGCTGCAATAAGAAATGCAAAGTAAGAAAAAAATCACTCAAAATTTTATATTTATTGTTTATTGCATACTTTACGTATCACGTTAACATTCAAGTACCTGGTTTTTTTACCCTGTTTGAGATGGCATCCCAGTTTTAAAGTCAAATCGCATTGCCTGACTTTCTGTCTCTAACGTAAACGCGCTCGTCTTTTTAAGGAAACCTAATTAGATCATTATTGACGACGCCTGGTTCCAGTATAATCGTCAAGATCCCGTCCATCGTCCTGCGCCATCGTGTTTCTGTAGTGACCTTTTCGTGGTAGACTGGTTGTTACCGAGGACGTCCTGTCGTTTATGTTTGTTTGTCTGTTTAGTTCTGGAAAGGTATTGCTCGTGCCTTGCCATCGGTTTGGCATAGTTGGTCACATTATATAGACTTGCTACAAGTCGACCTCCCATAAGTTCTTTGAAGTGGGCGAAGCGAGCTTTAATGAATGAGGTCGCACAGCGACCGAGGGAGCGACGAAGTCTCGAGGTCGACTTGTTTCGTCTGAGTGGATTTGAATCATATTAATATATAGATTTAGCCAGGGCTAAAAGCGAAGCTCTCATTCATATCTATAGTTCACTCAAACAAAATATAAAATCGTATAATTCTAAAAGGCAAAGGCAAAGAAAACAGCCAAAAAAAATCAGTAGGTCTAATTAGCAAAAAAACAACTTTGCACGTGCAGCACACTTTTTTGTACATTTCTGTGCCGTTGTTTTGCATGACTTCAACGTGAAACTTCCAGAAACTTCCTAGTTACACGTTTTATGGAGGAAATGTTGTATGTGTTCCTGTTCACTTTTTTTTCGCTGCCACTCAGTTTCACCATGGTGGCCGCTAGCATTTCTCATTTTTCTCACCGCCGCTATAAAATTCCAACGAAATTGGTCTCCTTTGTTTTTTATCTCTCGCTCCAGCTCTTTCTTTGTTATCCACGTCAATGCAGACATTAAAAGTAAGTCGAAAGAAAGAATCGGCTTTATTGTTGTTGTTGTTTTTTTTTATCTCTAAAAGTCCGGGTGGCTATGCGATTTACCGCCGAAACGCACGGGTACTTGAACTGCACAATTTCACCCCGCCTTACATAACGGGGTGGACGTACGGAACGATTTTATCAGAACCAAAATTTCTTGGATACATTGATAACCAAATTTTTTTACCCATGGCGCTCAGCTGCGCGCGAGAGCTCCGCTATAAATTCTCGCGGGAAGAGAAATGATTGACATAATGTTGTGTCGGGAGTGGCGTGAAATATCACTCACTGTCCTATTGGTCAATTGTCATAACGTCACCGGTAGAATTTTCGACCTGTGAATTTCGCGCCAAACTGGTATGACAAGTCCTTTAAATGGCATAACCAACCAGGAAAAAAATACAGGACTTCTAGAAAGTCTACATATCATATAGCAAAGCCGAATCGAACTGACTCATTCGGGGTAGGCTGGTTGTCACCAAAGGGTCCTGTCATTTGTTTGTTTGTTTTTCAGCTCTGGAATGCTGTTACCTTCGCAAAGATGGGCCAGCTCTGAAGGATATAACAAAAGTTCAGACAATTATATGATGCAACATTCATTGCCTACTAACGTTGGACAAAGTGCAATGGCGAACTCCTCAGTACAAGAGGTGGAACCTGTGGTTCATACAGGCGTCTTAACCAACACTGCTTCAAAACAAAGAAACCCTATATTTGAATATTGTGTTCAGCGAATGCAGAATAGTTCTGAGTGCGGTAATAAACAAAATATGGTGGTAAGTCAAAGTGGTGCGTGCAAAAAAGAAGAAGTCATGAACGAGAGTAATCTTACACTTCAGCGTCTAACAAACGAAGGCGTTTCTTCTCAACACCCACGCAACACTGTGTTAACATCTTTTACACATGACAACATGAAATTAAGAAGTAACTTTGCATACAGCGGAATGGAAAATAAATCGTTATTACAAGAGGCAAGAAGCAAAGAGGGAGACGTTGCGATTTCTAATGTTTGCGGACGGCAAAATCTTTTAACACCCTCCCAGCAAACGAACAGTTTTACTCAAGAATCTTCGGCGATGGACCCGATAGAATTAACAGCTGGTTTTATAGAAAATGAAATGGAGAAAACACTAAGATTACACGGGAATACGGCGAAGCCTGAAGTGGCTGCAGTGTCGAGTGTTTGCGGACAGCCGACTTACCCAACATCGTCATGCGCGAACGGTCCTCACTTGGCCGGTGTGGGTAGAGCCAGGCACTTCGCTGAGGCCAGAAAGAACAATTTTGGGGGCATTTGTTACAACCCACCAA